AAACCAATATTTGTCTTCAATTTTGACATTTTATGATCGAAACATATCGTTAAAAAATAGTGGTCTGATTTGTTATTTGTCACACCGCATTTTATTAATGTTAATTTGGGCGATTTTTATGGATATTCTTTTCGATCGTAACAAAAGAACGCCAGTCGTTTCCAGATCGAGGATAGAGGGATTGTGGTTCACTATATGCCCTGCTGCGTCATTAATTACGTGGAGAGGGTTGTCATCATAGATACATGTTCAATCTGTTGAGGAACGGTACGTGATCAGATTCATCACCTGTACTTGCAATACAATCACCCAAAAGAATTACACCAACATCGGATCACTTTCCTTGCACATCAAGTAAATTGGATTCAAGCAAATCAATACTACTACTGTTTACACTCAGACCATTGCGAACACGTGGAATTTGAAGCAATTTCTTTGACGTTTTACATTATGGTTAGGCTCTGTTGTTTCCGGCTTTCTAATGAGTAATGGTGATGCAACAATCGCAGATTCGTTTATTTCAGGGTCGTTCTCATTTTTCCCGGTTAAAGCGCGGTAGTCGTCGCGCTGCGCATGTTTGACATTTGTGTTGATAAACATTGATTTTCCCACAATCCAATGCGCTCTTCAAATGGAAATCACAAGTACACTGTAGCCTCGTTATAACGAACTCTTTGGGAGGCATGCAATTAGTTTGTTATAGTGAAATGTTCACTATAATGAAGCACATAATACATTGGGTTTGTTGTGAGCGGGGGACATGTTATGTGTTCATTATATCAGGAAATTCATTATAAAGGTGTTCATTATATTGAGGTTACAGTGTATGAGGTTTGACCTGGGCGCGACTTGCACTGATTACCGGCGGTGACTCCTTCGATACCTTCCAATCACATGTGATTACCTAATTAAAGCGTGGAAACGTGCCTGTTCGTACTCGTTGATCTGCGCAACAGTCAAAGTCGCCATCTTTGTTTATATGAGACCCATATATCTCGCACATGCGCAGCGCGACGACTACCGCGCTTTAAAAACATCTTGTCGTTCTTTTGCAGATTGGTCAGGGCCAAGCGTAACATTTTGGTTTTATCATAATAATTAAACAAAAATTGAATACAATGTCACTTTTGGAAACGATTATGGATAATTAGGAAATCATGTAATATGTGTAAATAATATATAAAGTCAAATAATATTCAACGCCATTCTATCCAAGTGATAAATATAAACAAACAAGCGGCGCCGTGGCTTAGTTGGTTAATTCACAGTCCCTCCACGCCGGTGTTGAGGGACTGTGGTTTATTTAAAAGCGCATGTCTAGTAAACATGAGACCCAGAGTTCGAATCTCAGTGGTATCTATTTATTTACATTCCTGCATTATTTTGAATTAATATGAAATTCATATTTCTTTCTAGTTGAATTACTAAAACAATTTACATATTTTTGTGAAATTTGTATTGCATTCAGAGTTGGAGATTTTTAAAACACTGAGTGTTGCTGTAGATTTCAAGTACATTACCACATTATTATTGAGGAAGACAGAACAATTGCACGTATATTGAGGAGATATATTGTGCTATTTACATACAATTGCACGTATATTGAGGAGATATATTGTGCTATTTACATACAATTGCACGTATATTGAGGAGATATATTGTGCTATTTACATACAATTGCACGTATATTGAGGAGATATATTGTGCTATTTACATACAATTGCACGTATATTGAGGAGATATATTGTGCTATTTACATACAATTGCACGTATATTGAGGAGATATATTGTGCTATTTACATACAATTGCACGTATATTGAGAAGATATATTGTGCTATTTACATACAATTGCACGTATATTGAGGAGATATATTGTGCTATTTACACACAATTGCACGTATATTGAGGAGATATATTGTGCTATTTACATACAATTGCACGTATATTGAGGAGATATATTGTGCTATTTACATACAATTGCACGTATATTGAGGAGATATATTGTGCTATTTTCATACAATTGCACGTATATTGAGGAGATATATTGTGCTATTTACATACAATTGCACGTATATTGAGGAGATATATTGTGCTATTTACATACAATTGCATAGTGTTCTCATTTGAGTTTGCGGCGTTCGGGTTCACAAGCTGAAATCCACAATTCACCGTTGGGCGTGGAACGGTAACTATTATCGCGGGTCAGTTGCTACCTGAATAAAAACAACTACTGCGAACCCGATAAAGACTTGATTTAGTTTGTGTATAGTTACATGTCTGTATTCCCTAAAAACTGAGTGTGAACGTATGCGATCCCAAATTACACTCAACTATCATGCGCGTTTATTCAACCAGACATTCGCCAATTAGTCCCTTCATCCCTGGACAACTCACTTCCTTAGGTACAACCACTCATCAATTATTTTTAGCAAATAATATGCAAATGCCATCGCACAGAGTACACCAGCTCCAATATATACCAACCGTTGAACACAACCTATGAATCGGATTGTATGGTATGGTAAATGATGACAACTCGGGCACTTTTTTATACAATAGTACATACATTTCATTTCTGGTACTCTTAGGTATGACACTAGAGGAAGCTTTTTTATAATGGAAAGGTCGGGCCCAAGGTAAAAAAAGAGTAAAGTAAATACATAAAAGTATTGGTATAATTAGCGACTATATTCAGCGTGACACTGTTTACGACCACGGTCTAGTAACACTATATGAAACCATGATTAAACTAGTAGATTAGTAAGACTTAGGGGTGGTGCCCCCTGGTTACATCACTAATTCAACTATATAGTACACAATGGAAGGCTATATTCTTATATTCAATTCAATATACTATTTAGCTAAAGTTATGGAGCTCCGTGCTAGTTTCCTCGTTAGAAAAAGACTTCAACTATTTTATGCTTTGCGTATACGAATTTTAAATGGAAACACGCCAAACATTCCAAGGAAAACAAGAGTATGCGATAGATAATGTACAATCGGTAATTAGAGCTAATCAAAATATAACCAAATCTTATCTTCATTTTAAATAAAAGTATAAATATAAATGACCTAAAACCTGACAAGCCTATGTTCATTGAACTGAAGTTTTAATAAATTAAATACCTATCTACATGTATTTAGTAATAATGTGATACTATGTTTTAATGTTTGATTAAGTTCTTTGTTAACGTAAATCGCAATTGTATTAAAATTAGTAATTGAAGAGAAATCGTGGAAATAAAACACATCCTAGCAAAATATCTTGTAGACTATTTTTCAATTTTGTGTAAAATATATCACTATGATTATAGCAAAAACAAAGAAGGAACTATCCGGCGCCATGGCTTAGTTGGTTAAAGCGCCTGTCTAGTAAACAGGAGATCCTGAGTTCGAATCTCAGTGGTGCCTTTTTCTCGCCATCTAGTTGTAGTCCGGCACACAACTAAACACATTTTCTTCCATTTTTACACATTTGTCATGTATGTATACTTTGGGACATTTGTAAGATCTTTTATTAAGAATTTAAATGCATCGGTCCGAAATATGCAAATTAAATAACATACACTGTAATAGCCCCATCATCGTCCAAATCGTACGGCCCCGTGTCTTTGACCTACCATATGCCTCTGCACGATATTGTGCGGGATCGCATAGGCTAATTGCGTATCTTAAGCAGTGAGATCTGATTGGGCGCGCCTCGAAACAAGGCGCCCAATCAGCTTGGACGTACCAAATTATAAAACTAAATTCAACTTCCTGTTTTTGTCGCTATGATGACATCCTTCCCACACAAAACTGCGTCGATTGAGTACCTGATGTGGCTTGAGGGCACCAACACCGAAAACTTTCGCAATTTTATCATCACAAATAACACGATTCATGGGCGCCGCCATTTTGTTTAAAATGAAACGCCAAAGAGGGATTTGTAACACGCAAACTGATTGGACAATGATCAGCCGCAACTGACTACTGGGAGCGCTGTTAGAATACGCATATTTGAAGGTCGTTCTGGCCAAGGTCTGTTTTAGGTTTGGCCGGAGAAACTTAGACCTTGGCTAGCGAAGATGTTGCCCCGGGGACCCATGGTGTTGTCGAGTGGGCGTTATTTACATGTCATCTATATTGTCTACTGGTCAGTGTAGTCTTCTACAATGCGCTTCATGTTTCTGCGCATCCTCCACAGGGCAGTAGGACAGTTGTTTGTTAGGCATCGTATACTCCTAATCCTCGGGGGCGGAGCTACGTCACAAGACGTTCCATGTTGCTAAGACGGGCACCACTGTACATGCATTTCTATGGGTTCTGGGCTCGCTGCTGTGGAACGCCGTTCGAGCCGGTGAAAATTCGAGAAAACAACACAAACTCAACTTTGAAGTAATCCTGAACAACCAAATTTATATATGTTACACACGTAGGGCTAATCTTGTTACACTGTTCAGGGGAGTCTCAACCACCATCCCAAAGTACCGTTTTCTGCGAGTTTTTGGCCTTTGTTTTCACCGCGAGGGTTGCCAGGCGGTAGAAAATGCCCGGATGTCCACCCCGAGGACAGGCCCGTTCGCGTTCAAACTGCGTCTGTCCAAATGAATATGCAAATCACGTTTAAGCAGCTCCGATCATCATCCGTCTAACTGTGTTACGCAATTACAGCACGCCTAACACGAAAACAGCATATAACATGAGTTATGATCCCATGCTGAAATACAGTTAGCATAGGTAAACATGTGTCAGGTGTAGTTATAGGTAGTTATAGGCGATAAAAATAGAGTGGACCAGTATTTACATCTATTCACTAGATTGAGCAGAAGAGTAATTAAAAATGCGTAACCATTTTGCAAATATGCCTAAACCAAGACATTGTGACACAAGAACTTACGCGGTTTCATTACTAGAGTTGAGCACATTTAACTGATTTGACAACCCCAAAATACTTTTTAATTTTTTTGGATTAGTGTAATTAAAAAAAAGATGCTCCGTTATATCACGTGGCACATACCTGCGCTTTCCCGTTCAGTGGCGAATGGTGTGGGACGCATGCGCGGTGGTCCGTCCACGTGGACACTGGGTGGTAATTCATCGGAGTGAGTAGAGTCGAAAGAATCAATCCGCGACGGTAAAGAGTCTCTCTTCAGATTCATGCAAATAATAGTTGAGCATATAATAACCAATACGATCATTGCTGACGTAATAGATACAATGGTGGAACGTTCTTCCGTCTTGGCATTGATTTTGGTGTACCACCAGCCTGTAATAATAGATAGATTTTTTTTATTTAACACAAAATATATCATGAATGAAAAAAACATACAATAAATCAATGGTCAAGAAAAACACAAACAAAACAATAGACTAAACTAAAGCTTAGAAATAAAATCAATAAATTTTCCCAAGCAATTGAGAATGAAGCTATCTTTAGTGCCTAGCAAGCACTTGAATTTCTCAAGAGTTGATAACTTGCAAATGTTGTCATCATAAATAAAGTAGAACATATACATTCGTTAATAGATATCGTCCGTATCATAAAAGTCCAGGGTCCCTCCGTAAGAAAAATCAAGATAAATCATGACCTATTTCGCTAATGATCATTTTTTCTGTTGAGCAAGTCATTTTCTGCCAGATAATGTACGTGTATCTAAGGCGATGTATAAACACCATGAAAGCTTGGATATACGAGAACACATAAAATAACATGTTTGCTTAGCTGACAGACTGTCTCGTCAATATAAGTGAAAACAAATCCACTAATTTCGCACAATAGAATCAAACAATTCCGAGTCAGATATTCACATATTCAAACAGCGTTGCAAAAGTTATCAGGAAAAATATATGCTTTGTTATCGGCACGTATTGACTAACAAACACAGACTGTTAAATCACAGCTATATTTTCCCTGGTCGCGATACATCAACATTTCGTGTCGTAAGCCAACAAAGTTTTTCTCAAGATGCGCGATATGATACGTCCATTTGAATATACTTGTACAGACTATTGAGGGACTGTGGGTTGAAAGATGTTTTGGTGAGTTGTAAACTTGAATGAACTATTTTCGACGATGTTTTGTTGTTGTTGACTTCGTGCACGATCTGTTGCTTTGGCAACGATTAAAGATAACGTGATAAGAGGATTGTTCTCATCTGTTTTTCTCATACTTTCCTAAGAATTATAATTTTACATCATGGGAATTGCAAATCAGATCGAAGACATTGTCCTTGACACTTCAGGTCAAGGGTGATTGATGCACACATTAATAATTAATGTTATCGAATTGCAACTACAAAGTACACCAGAAAGTGTTTTTCATCAGACCTAGTAGTCAGTTGAACGAATGAATAATCATAACCCATATTCTCAAGTGATTTTAGAGCGTCGGCAACCATGCAAATAAGTTTTCAAGGTTTCGTGTTATGTTATTTATGTGACTCAAAAGTGTCCACCTTCGATGCTTACCGTCTCTGTACTGACAATAGTCTCCGTAGAAAGACACCGGGCAGTGGCATATACCGGTTAGTAGGCAGTGTCCACCATTCAAGCAACCATCTCGGTTGCAATCATAAGTACCGACTGCAAATAAGCATATATTTCACATGTAACAAACTAAAAAGATTGGCAGAAATATTTTCAGATGGCCAAATATTATTTATTGACTTTTACTCATCATTACTTTACCTTCTTCGCACTGGTTTCCCCGGAAGTACTTCGGACAAATGCATTGTGGTAAAGTGTCATTACACATTCCGCCATTTTGACAAACACCGCAGGTATCGGTTCTATTACCGTACTCTAGAAATAAGGTACAAACAAATAAGGTTTATATTGCCATTGGTCGTAAACCTTCGGAGTAGAAGTATTCCACTCAGGATGGCCATTTCATCGATTGTTTTTTTGTTAACGAGTGAATAAAAGACCGTGATTAAAATAATGGAATTCAAATGAAACATCATAGAGAAGAAAATACAAATGCAAGTGAAAACATTTGACAGCTTATCCGTTTACTTCGTTGTACATAATTTAAATAATTTATTGACAGTGAATTATGGACCGGAAATTATCATACTAGTAAATGATTTAACCTCGAATTATGCGAATTAAAAAAATGGAATATTAATGCTTAATTTCTCTATATTGATTTATGAATGACAGAAGATTAATTCATTAATTTTCTTCGTGGCAATTATTTTCGTGCTGACTAGGTCGTTTCGGCCTTAGGGATTATTAGTCATATACGTAAAGGCTAGTTGAGAAATAAACTTTACTGCAATGTAACTACTAGTAGTTTTTAAAGCATAATTTTTAAGTTAATAAGGAGGTGAATTTGGTGATGCAATGAATTATGAAACAAACATGGCTGAGTTCATTGAACTCGCATGTAGTTCACACATTAAAGTTCTGATGTTTTTACTAGAATCAGGTACCAAGATAAGTAATCGTTATGCCCTTAATTAATCAAAAAATAGAAATAACATCATGTTTAATTTGGCAACGCAACACATGGTAAAATCAATGAGAAAAATAGTATATGAAATGATAGTAACGTTTGAATGTAAGCCGCTCTCTAGAAAAGTCCTGATTTGAGGAACGATTATGTCGTGGTTAAAACTGGATATGAGATACTGCAAAGATGGGAATCATCTTTGATGTGAACAGACCAGCACAAACTATCTAGTGAATACGATAATCTCACCGGTACAGTTAATAAAGTGGGACATTCCTGTCTGAAAGAGCGAAATCATTGAGACGATGTATTATGTATAGTTGTAATTATTATGTATAATTGAACTAGTACAGTAGACCGAGGTAGTCTAATTGGTATACAACTTTTTAATCTTCGCAAATCCGTTCATACTCTTAATAATAGTCTAGAGCTTTGCAGAAAAAAACATTCAGCGCATTGGTCGGAAATGTCACTTGTTTGATGAGTCATTTGGAATCGTAAATTGCAATTTCAATACTACGATAAATATTCCTTTAAAAATCCATCATTAAATATTTAACAAAAACTACGCTGATCATCAACATCATCCGATATGTAAGACGAGCTGATGCGGCACAATATTCAAGACTCTTTGACGAGGATGTCGATAACGATCCATGTTTGCGGGGGTTAATGGATTCCCCTTTTTCAAATAGTATGATACTATAATGTGTGTTCTGTTTTATACAATTTAGACATCAAAATAGTGCACTGTCTATATTTGGATTTACTGCCTGTACTTGTACAGAACAAAGGAATGATTAATTGTATAGACAATATTAGAGAAACAACAGCAATACAAATTTTAGTTATGCTCATTTCAAATTCGAAACTTCAAACCACTCAGAAAATAGAGCGAACAAACAGAAATAGAGACGCACATCGTCATTTTCGGTATAAAGTACACGGAAGTAGTGTATTTGACATTGTTATTACCACTGGATGTCCGTAAGCCTATTAACCAACATCCAAAAAACAACTTTAGTGGTTTGATAAAATATAATATTGTCACGGTAATTGCGTTGTAGTATGCAAAGGTTAGAATCGTAAAATGATTACGTTACCTGGTCCCAATGACGAAACCAATAGAACGCCGCCGCCGAGTAAAAATATCCACACAAGACAACTTCTCTGCGACATGAAGCTAATATTACATCAGTCAGTGTAGGCATTATATTTATCAGCTATCATACGGAAAGATCTCTCCGTCTATAAACAAAAACAAAACACTTATATTTGTACTGACAATTTCATTAATCATATCTCCATCCGGGACTTTACGTTGTCATCATAACAATCTACTCACGGCAACGAGCGCAGCATTGACTTGGTTCCCCCAAAGCAAGGTCTCCGCGATGAATATAATATTGTTGACACACAGTACTGTATTATGGCTGTAGCTGGAAATACACAGCCAACTTTGGTTATCGTAGTTATGACAATTTTCGCAGTACTTATAATCGGCCTCCTACGTTCTGAGCGTCGAGATGAATCATTTGTTAGAACAATCTTAAATTATACATGTACATTTTTTGCCTTGAATGAGTTGACTCACTCACATACATTATTATTATTTGAATATGATAATAACCCACGAATCATGATATTGCGTAGAAGATAATGTATATTTAGGTGACGCTGTCATCACAACCGTATATAAAATATGGCTTTTTTGAATATCATACTATTATACGAATGTTGCGTTGCTAATTACATCATAGTTAAAAAGACTCATTTGCGCATCTGAATATGCGCATGTTATATTTCTACACGTCTAAGTATTATCTCAAATCTATATTCATGAGGTTATTTCTACTTTCTACTTCTTGCTCATCCAAGTGGAAACTATTTCCCTTTTTTCCATAATGATTCTAACTGTTCAGGACAAGGTAATATGTTTTTATTTTCGCTCAGCCATTTCGAAATACCTCTTCAAAATAAATAGTGGTGACTCATGAATAATCGCAACTAACCGTGTCAGAAGGTTTGCACTAAAACTCACAAAGCATATGTGTAACCCGTATTTTCGCATTTTCGTAGCTATCTCAATTTCGCACGTAATTGTCGGTGACTAAATACATGTCCACGTCCGTGATAACATGGATGAATGACATCGCCGTAAATTCATCCAAGCATTTATTGCATCTGATCCCACTTCCTTCGCTTAACCAACAAACGGTGTCGAATCGATAAATCACACAGCGAGTTCTACGACCAGTCTGAGCCGTGAATACAACTAAAGTATAATGTTTCGAATCGAATCACCTACGAAATGAACAACATTCCACGAAGTACGGTGTAATCGAGGGACAATTTGTTTACCTACAACATGCATGATGGTTGGCCGGAAACTAGCACAGATGACAACACCTTCACAGATTGCATTAAAATACAACCGACCAAGATCAACAGTAAACAGAATATGATGTTTTATTTAATCGCCCCCCCCCAAAAAAAACGAACAAATTTGCATAATGAGTAGTATGATCAAGTGACATAACTACCGGAAACGATTTTCGTCGTTTAACTGTAGTGTGTTAAACGGGTGAACGGTAGGGGAAATTAACGAAGATGACAAGACGAAAATTGCATACAAGTCATGAATGTTAATTATCACATCATACAGTCGGCTTTGCTGGCACGCTAATGGAACTTCATGATGAAACAGTAAATTAATTCTGACAAAGAAAATAAGATAACAACTAACAACGTGAAGATGAATAAACAGAGCAAGAAGAGCGGGAATTTTGTTATCATTTTTATGAGTAATGAATGCTTCAGTGTTCTTGGCGACATCTCTTAGAATCTACATTCAGTCATTTTATCCATAAATGGTCACTGTTTCTGACGGATCAACGAATAATATAAATGACAGCACTAGGAGTCATATAACATGACAGTAATCATACAAACGCGAAACCAAAAATTTGTAAAACATACTGTTCTAATTGCAGCTAATTTATCACAAAACGATGTCAATATCATACTATATTCGACTAACAAAATATACTAGTAATCATTGGTAATACGTAGTACCAGTACGGTGGTATACCATGGGACCAAAGGTGTTCCTTTTAATATGGGGCTACTCGTTGATGATATAAGCGGGCTCAGATTATTAAATCTCCATGACATAGTCAGGGCGAGCTCCTGGTCTAATCATAATGCGACGCAAAGGTCAACTCAGGAGATAATCTGACACAGTTACTGTACCTAATATTTGTGTTTTGCCTAATGGCGACAATTACTCAAGGCCAAACCAATCAAGTACCCAGGAACACATACACGTCATCGGTGTAGTACAACGAGTTTGACAAATATTACGATGACACGAAACGCTCTAAATTTATAGCCGAAAATAACGATCTTTAATCAATCAAACACGAATAATTAAAGCGACCTCATCTCAGTTAGGTCACCATCTCCTGGGGATATATGTCACTTATATGTGATTTTGACAAATGACTTTAATTGTTCAATAACCGCCAATCACTTGAACGGTGACGGACGTACAAAGCGATCCTTGATTACATAAAATATGACGCATCAGTCGACAGGAAGTTGTACTTCAAGTAAATATCACGTGACACACAACATAGCGATTGTCATCACAACATGTGACAATGTTGACCGATTTCATTTTTCGATATCGTCACACCGTGACTGACGGGCCCTGCAATTATATGTTAATATAATCGCTATAATAAATAATGCTACTAAAACAACTTCCAATGATGCATATATAAATGTGTGTGTATATTTACGCCGTATAGTGTATTTATAAACTACTATGGGTTGTCAACTTCTCTGAACTAGTGTGTGCAGTTAAATTTAAAATGCATGTATTGTCGTGTTGTAACTGTCCAGACAGTGTGTGTACAACGCAATAACCTCATGCTCACTGCATTTGGAATTTCTTACTATACGTTGTTCAGAATTTTGAGCCAATGTTTGCAGTTAATATGCATGTAATGTCGTCCGAGAACTGTCGAGACTGTATACGTGCAACGTTTTTGATGTACATACACTTCGTATCTCAATCAATACGTCACCTACACGGAAGGACATTCAATGGGTGGGGATGGCTTCGTAAGAAATGATGCAGTATTTTGAAACCTTATTCTATGATACCACCAACATTTACAAAATCCGATATGTAGATTTTTCATAGATTCAGTCACAGTATTTTGTACCCTGTTGGTGGGATTATTTCTCACTTATACTATTCATCAAGTAGAGTAACACTGGATATTCTACACCGTCTGAGAGAAAAACGACCCAGAGTTCACGGTTGACTCGCATACTGTTGATGATGACAATACATCTCATTGAATTTGATGGGCCGATTATTTTATTTTTTGACATTGACTTTTGAGAATCGTCCTGAAATACAGTGTTTGCGCAGTTTGTTGTCTCATTTGATGCTTCTATGCATAATATACTCCATAGAGATGAAATATGACATGGAAATCGTTCTGGGATGAAAGTCACGTGTTAGGATTCAAGAAACGTAACGACAAAGAAAAGGATGTTGTATATAGACACCGTCCCAAATGAGCTGTCTGAAACAAATCTTATCGAAGAGCTGTTACATGCGCATGCGTATGAGTTTAATTAAGTTAAATTATCCATTAATTTGTAAATTAGTATTTTGACACATATTCCAGTAACGGAATTTTGGGAGAAAATCGTAGAATATAGTTGACACGTTAATTTACACTCACCTGGGCGACGAACAGGGCTGGTTATCTGTGTCTCCATTTGCAGTGTTTTCATTTTCGTCAATGACAAGCAAATGATGAAATGTGAAGAAGTAAACTAATAGGACAATGCGCATGCGTGAGTTCGAATTCTTAAATTCCGGGGGCGCTGTGAAACCCGGCTGCTGGGGTCATTAACCCTACAAGAAGATAATCCGTTTTGACTTCATGCCGACAAACAAGAAGATGAATCGTAGTATTATCTGTGTCGATGGTTGATCGGCCATGAAAGATTGTTCCATCCAGGGCTCGATGCATCTACTACTGTGAAACGGAAGCAGCAACATTGAAATGACGTAATAAGGACGTATTATCTATAAATAATCCATCCTCAGGCACATGAGACCCATTCTAATCAAGAGTCACAATCTAGTCAGAAATTACAGGAGAATTGTATTTATTTATTTCAGAACTAAAAGAATACATTAAACACTAACTCGTCAATTAATAACATTAAAGCGCTGCCTTAGTAACCTAGTCTGCGCTGGGCGTGTTGGGAGATTATTTTGCTATGGGTGACGACAATCAAACCGGCAATCATATTGTGTACGCTCGACTTTGATGTAAATGATATGTGATTTGCACCTGTACTGGCGCGGAACAAGTGGACACGATTTCCGGCCATGTCCACGAACACGAAAATCCAATTGAATTGAGCGTAAGTGAATTGATTGCATGCAGTATCAGGGCACAATAACACGAATCGTAAAAAGACGATTCAATAGTCCGAGGCAAGTTTGTTGTTTGACCACCTGAACTACAGATTGCGAAGTGGGATTTTTATTACAAATCATTTGATAAATAAGCTAAAATGGCGGGCCGATACAATGTTTCGTCTCAGGAGATTGTGTGTTTTTGCATAAAGGGGCAGCAAGGTGTTTTTTTATAACTACTCCGGCAAAATAGCAACCGATTTACTCGGAATGATTTGAAGAAGCCGGAGCCGAGTATACCATGAACTGTTGGCCAGTTCTTTACAGATTCGCTGAGAAAGTAAAACTCGACAATTCATCGACGGTGCAAACGACATTAATTAAACGGGCGCCGTTTGCAATATTAATTTGCAATATGTTTATGTTTGATTTAAATATAGGCTGTGATCACTGTACTCCATTAACCGACGTGTAAAACCTTGTATGGAAATATACTACTAGTACCTTCGTATACTTATGCAGGCCGGGGACACGTCAAACATGTCGTAACTGTGATTTACCAGTACCAGGCTTACATAAATAAAAATATATACGCGCAAATGAGACAAACAGATATGATAATATATTTTTCTATAGTCAGAAAATCAGTCACGTCGTTGAATAGTGATTTGTCAAAACCGTGTCACGTGGTCACATGACGTTTCCTATATTACCACAATAGAAACAG